CTCCAGTCTTCTGCAAGAACAACCAGTGTTCTTAACTGCTGAGCCATCTCTCCAGCCCCTATTTTATTTTACTTAATGATACACAGTTGGGGTTTTATTAAATATACATTTAAGCAAGTGGGTTAAAAGGAGGTATTCAGGAAGAAAGTAAGACACATGCCAAGGGCATGGGTGTAGCCTTTTCTGAGTCTTTTTTTTTTTTTTGGTGTTTTTGAGACGTTCTCCCTGTAGCCCCAGCTGGCTTGGAACTCACTACATAAACCAGGCTGGCCTTGAACTCAGAGATCCACCTGCCTCTGCCTCCCAAGTGCTACCATGTCTGGCCTGAGAATCTTTTTTTATTGTTTTTATTTTTATTTTTTGGTCTTTTTGAGACAGGGTCTCCCTGTAGCTCCAGCTGTCCTGGAATTCACTATGTAGACCAGGCTGGCCTTGAACTCACAGAGATTTGCCTACCTCTGCCTCCCAAGTGCTGGGATTAAAGGCGTGCACCACCATGCCTGGCTTACTGTTTTTATTTTAAATTTATTTTATGTATATGAGTGTTTTGTCTGTGTGTATGTGTACCAAGTGTGTGCAATGCCCACAGAGGCCAGAAGAGGGCATCAGATCCCTTGGAACTGAAGTTACTGATGATTGCTAGCTGCCATGTGGTTGCTGGGAAACAAACCCAGATCCTCTGCAAGAGCAGCCAGTGCTCTTAACTGCTGAGCCATCTCTCCAGCCCTGTTTAATTTTTTTTGAGGTAAGTCTCATGTAGCCCAGGTTGGCTTTCAACTCCTGATCCTCCTGCCTTCATCTCCTAGTGCTGGTTTTATGTAGTAGTATAATCTTTCTTACAACTCTTACAATGGAGGATTGCAGTTTTCTGGCCTATAAAGGAACAAGATAAAGATTTTCCCACCAGCATATTTCAGCTTTACAATAGTAGATGTTGGAAAATCCTTTTTAAATTAAATTTTTTTTTTTTAAAAAAAGATGGGGTCTTATGTAGCTGAGGCTGGCCTTGAACTTCTGATCTTCCTGCTACTGACTGGGATCAGAAGTGTCTGTTACCATGCTCAGTTTTATACAGTGCTGGGGATCAACCCAATAATTCATACATACTACCCAAGTATCCTACCAAACTGAACTACATCCCCAGTCCCTATTTAACAATTACAAGGAATTTATTAAGATAAAAGTCACATAAAATTATTTGCTTTTTGGTCAGGTAAATCCTCTATCTCTGAATCATACCACCAACCCTTGAGGCCCTCCCCCAGTTGAGAATTGAACCCATGGCTTCATTCATGTCAAACCAAAGCACTCTACCATTGATCCACAGGCCTATGCAAAATTCTCTTCTTTAAAAAAGTTGTCTTTTGGGGGCTGGAAAGATGGCTCTGAAGTTAAGGGATTGGCTGCTCTTACAGACAACCTGAATTTGGTTCCCAGCACCCACATGGCAGCTCATAAATGTTTGTTAACTTCAGTTCCAGGGGATCCAACATTCTTTTCTGGCCTCTGTGGGCACCACATGTGTGTGGTGTACTTCCATACATGCAGGCAAAACACTTATACACATAACATAAAATAAAATAAAAAACCCAAACAAAATAGTCTTTTTGAGACAGGTTCTCCCTGTAGCCCCAGCTGGACTGGAACTTGCTATGTAGACCAGGATGGCCTCCTAATCACAGAGATCCAACCTGCTTCTGCTTCTCAAGTGCTGGGATTACAGGTATGTGCTACCACAGCCAACTAAAACCATCTTTTAAAGGCTATGGCTGTCCTGTCCAGCTCACTTGTTACTATTTCACCTCTCTTTCCCAGTGTGGTATGTCAGAGCTGCCAGGTAGCTGCAGTGGTTAGCAGTCTATACTCTTGAGCGCAAGGCTTCTGCCACTGCTTGTGCTTAGGCGGGACATGGGATGGCCTAAGGCTGGGGAGAGCTTCTCAGGACCTTAGGAGGATCCTGTGAGTTGGGAGGAAGGGATGAGACACTAACCTGCTCTCAGGCTCTAGTTTGCAGCAGACGGTGGCCAGTGGGAAGAAGGCTGGGGGGCAGTCTGTTGGGACAAACTTCTCCCAGAAAAGCTTTACATTGAGGCCAAAGTCCAGTGTGCGGGGCAGGCAATCAGGATCAGCATATACTTGCCCAATGATCTGCAAGTGAGAAGATGGTCCATCACGAAGAACTACAGAGACTACAGCTACATGGCTGTGATGCTGGTGTGAATAGACAGGTGTGCAGAAGAGGGAGTAGTAAAAACCTAGGTTAGAAGGCAGCTACGAGCCTCCATCTTTCCTCACCTTGCTGAGACCTCTCTTTGCACTAAGGAGGGTTTAGGAAAGGCCTCAGTACAGCAGAAGCAGTGTTCACAGTCGGTACCTACAGGCTGGCAGCTTCCCCTCATCCCACCCCACCCATGGCCCCTTGTGGCTATGTCTTCTGAAAGAGTCAAGGCTCTGTGAGGTGAGGGAGTAGGTTTGGTTAATGCCTGAAACCCTTTGGTATCAGCTTAATTCTTTGTAGATGGCAGATGTTCAACAGCTAGCTACTGAAGGAAACAACTTTTTAAAAACCTTTCATTATGTCTCCCTATAGCCCCAGCTGGCCTGGAACTTGCTTTGTAGACCAGGCTGGCCTTGAACTCCAAGAGCTCTGCTAATCTGCCTCCTGAGTACTGGGATTAAAGGTGTGTGCCACTACAATCGGCCTAAACCTTTTGTTATTCTAACCCATCCTTTGTCCTCTCCTCTCTTTTCTCACACATAACTCTGTGGGAATCAAAGAAGCTTTTTAATGTGTCTATTTGATTGTTTTGAGAGATACTGATTTGTACTGCTGTCTGACTGTTGATTTCATGGCAAGCTATCCAGCCCTAGGAGGGGAGCCCAGATCTGAGGCAGGGCAGAGCTGTTAGGCCTGTTGCTCCAAACATGGCCTCCAAGCCAGAGCTCACCTCGCAGAGAACGATCCCAAATGAGAAGACATCCACTGTCTCATCGTAGCTTTTTCCTTGGGGAAGAGGGGAGAACAGGCTGTTAAGTTGAAGTGTTTTACCTGCCTGCATTGTGTTTTGGGTCAAGCCAAGCCACAGCTAAGAATCAGGGCTAGAACAAGTCCTATGGGATAGTCCAAAGGTGTCCCAGGATAGGTGTCACTTGGAAATCATCTTTCCTCAGCCCTAGGTGACCTTCCTTGGAACAGTCTTATAGTACACATTGCCCAGAATAGAACTGCATGCATAAAAAATGGCACCCAGGTTCAGGTTCATGCAGGCTCCGGGGCAAGCCACTGAATGAACAAGGTTGTGTTCTACCATTTCTGAAGCCTGACAACCTTGCTGTGTGTGTCAAGAATGCCAGTCAGCAGTCCCATCTGATTTGAGTATTATCCACCAGGGGGCACCACATTTGAGTCACCTATGGGGAGAGAGGAGACTGAAGCTGGAGCAGTGAACAAGCTACCCTTTGAACTCAAAGGCCAGTCAGACCTCACCCTAGGCCCAGGATGGCATGCTGATCAGCTCTCAGCTCTGAGTTTGGGAAAGAGGCCTGGCTTAGAGAAGGTTAAAAACAGCCAGCCTCTAGTTTTAACTGTCTGACCTTATATTTCACAGGCTCATGGTGCTCAGTTTAAGATGTGGCTCTCATCCTCCATCTGGCAGCTTCCCCTCCAGGGATTCAGAACTCACCGTTCAGCATCTCAGGGGCCATCCAGTAGGGGTTGCCCACCACAGTGTAGCGCTTCTTACGATCACTCTTGCGTAAGGTGCGTTTCTTAGTGGTGGCCTTCTCTATCGGGGGTCTTTTCCTCTCTTCCACTATGAGACGTGACAGTCCGAAGTCTGCTACCACCACAGTCTTGTCCTGGTAGGAGAAGGGCCAGGTCAGGAACTAGTAAGGGCATTCTCAAACCTGTCCCTGCGGTGTGGGCACAGGCACTAGAGGCCACTGAGAAGGGGAGTAAAGCTGCATAAGTGAAGGAGTCACAGCAGAAAGCTCTATGGTGGCTGTGACTGGGCCTTTGTGTTTCAGGCAGGTATCTGCCCATAGCAGATACCAAGCCAAAGAGGAAGCCCTGGAGAGGTAGGGCTCCAGAGCCTGGAGAGTATAAGAGGTGGGACAGGATGTCCTGCATTTCATCTTTACTCTGTTTTGCCTTGTCCTAAAAAAGATTTGTGGTAGTTGCCAGAATAGGTTAAGAGACAAGAACGAGGCAGTGTGGGGATTGGGGGAGGTAAAGTCCTTGGATAGCTACAGAGCAGTCATGTGAAAAGGGATGGAGACTATTTGATGGTGGCCCAAAGGGTGGAGCCAGGGCCAGTCAGTGGACACAGGAAGTCAGCAGGAGAAAAAGTATTGTGATGCTGGGTATGGTGGTGCATGCCTTTGATCCCAGCACTTGGGAGGCAGAGGCAGGCGGATCTCTCTGAGTTCAAGGCCAGCCTGGTCTACATAGTTTCAGGCCAGCTGGGACTACAGGAGACCCTGCTTCAAAAAGACCAAAAAAACAAACAAGCAAGCAAACAAAAATACCAAAAAAAACCCCAAAACACCCACCAACTACAGCTGAGGGTTCCAAATACAGCTGAGGGGTTATGGGAGGAATGCTGGCCTCCCATAAATTGGCTACTATAAATTTAAGGGCTCTGTGGCCTCAGGATGTTTCAGGTGCCAAGGCTGCTTTAGGGGATTGTTATAAAGCAAAACTAGGTAGACTGATAGAGTTCTATAGGCAGATGAGGAATTTAACATCATGCCCTCCCCTGCTCCCAGACACATACACTTTTAAGTGATACTGGGGACTGAGCCCAAGGCTTTCTGCATGGTAGACAAGTGCTCTACATTAAGCTACATCCCCAGCCCAGAGTCTTTCTAATAAAATGATTTCGAGGACTACAGCCAAGGGGATTTGGGTGAAATTGTATCTGCATGTGTTTAGGAACTTCCAGAAGGTGGGAAGGTTTTGGAGGCAGCAGGCAGGATAAAACAGGAGCCCCTAGGCAGTGTGTCTGGTCTGAAGCCAGAGAAGATAGTCAGCTTCTTTTGTGACCAGGAAGTTAGAAGGGATGGCCCCAGGGAGGCTCTGGCCAGGCCAAAAGATGGGACATACCAACTTGATGAGGCAGTTGTGTGAGTTCAGATCCCGGTGGATGATGCACATGGAGTGCAAATATGCCTGAAACAGAAACAAGAGCCACAGGGTCAGTTGGCTGAGCCTGTTCTCCCAGGTCAGGCCTGCCCCGCTTCAGAGATGAGCCTGGACAATGACCCCCCCCCCCGG